GTTTGTCTCGTAATTACTGTTTAGTCCTTTAAATTTATGTTTTTCTTATTTTAGCCCCTAAGTTTACGTAATTACTATTTTAGTCCTCCAATTTTGTTATTTTTGTTGTTTTAGCTCTTTAAGTTGTTATTATTACCATGTTAGTCATTGTTATTATAAATTTTATTTTGATCATTTTATTTGGTAATTTTAATATTGATTTGTGTTTATGTCAATTCCTTTTGTATGTACTTATTTTTATGTTATGTATTTATTTATATCATATGTGAATTAATATGTTCAACTTTATTTGTTATAAATATTTTGTTTCGCATATTTATATTGGCTTACATTGTATTTCTTTATTTAAATATTGCGAATATTTTCAAGAGAATCGATTTATAGAATGGGCGTGGAAAGCACCACTTGATCGAAGTGATGTAATCCAATATGACATTCAAACCAAATGCGAACTTGAAATAAATCAATTGTATTTTGCTAATTATTAATTCATTTCATTTTAAGTTGAACATTGCAATGAATGTCTCTTAATAATAGTTTATTTCATTTCATGCAAATTATCGATATTCATTCTACATTTTATATTCGATTCATTTTTAGTTAATCAATTTATTTTGTTGTATGTAAACATCGATTTTTCTATATTCAATTTGCATTTTAAATAAATGATGAGGGAATATTCTTTTATTGATAAGAAATAGACGAGTTAGTTTTCCCGATGGAGGATTGCTAATTTCGAGATTTCTTTTCGAGTTAAAGAATTTTCTCTATTTATTTAATTCGAAGCAAATTAATCAACGTTCGATAAATAGATCATATTTTAACCTTATATTTGATTTATAATTTCCACCATTTACAACGATGTGTAAGCGACACAGTACCAGTTTTTGGGCGTTGTGGGAGTGTTTACCCTTCCCCGCACGTAACCGACTCCCGAATCCATTTAAATAAATCTTTGGTAACGCAGACCGAATCTTGTCTTAAAAAATGATTTTTCTTAAAATTGTTTTAAAAGACGTTTTTAGGTATTCAACCTACCTAACACAAAGGTTGATGGCGACTCTATTCAATTTAATCCAAATTAATCCAAAATACTCAATTTTTCAAAATAAAAGTCATAATCGTTTTAAAAATAATATTTAATTGTTTTATAAAAAATGGTTATGACAAGGACAACACATTAAAGACTCCCTCTGAGAAAAGAAAAATGGAGAAGCAGAGGAAAGACTGAACGAGACTGAACGAGCTAAGAAAGTACATCAGCTTGATTTGATTATTTTTGGTAATATCTCTTTGAAGGTTTCATTCTAATGTGGCTTACTATTTGAGGTGGCAGAGGTTGAATATGCGGATCTTAGAAGGGCACTACTCAGAGCCCTGGAAGAGCTATTTGATCTGCCTTCACAAACAAAAGAGCTCTATGTTTCTAACAAGCCTTTCGTGGCTATTCGGGGGTTGCAATTGGATTATTACATGTATGGTTAAATGGTCGATTGTGTGTCTTATCACTGCATCGTGATGAAGGGCAACAAGGTACGATACATTTGCAAGGTTCCAGAAAAGCTTGTAGATGACCAAAATGGCTTGTTCATGATAATTCATCCTTATCTTTGCCAATGTTTCTTCCAAGTAAAACACCAAAATCGTTGGCACCAACAGCATGTTGATAGTAGTTTACACTGCTTTCGTGACACTTGGTGCCTTCGTCTCTGGTCTCGCCAATGTCATCTTCAAAGCTCCAATGCTTTTCTTTGATTCGCCTCCTGTTGATTCTAACCTGAGCAAGATCAAATTTATGTACCCTATGAGTTCTTTCCCGATAAACTAAATTTCGTTTTATATAAAACTCTTGCAGGCTTCATCAAATATGAGTATTCTTGATTCCGACACCATTCGCCCTAGTCCTTGTGGCAGCAGGTGCACTGAAGTCATTCGCCCTAGTACTTTGCACGACCGCTGTTGTTGCTATTTTCTTGTAATTTGCTTTGCTCAAATCTCATTTGCATCCTCACCCCCGACGTTCAATTATTATTATAATCTACAATTAACCTTCAAACTCTATAATTGTAAGTGCACCAGAGGACTTTGCGAGTCGTAATTTACTTGAACATGTAATAGGTAGGAACCAAAAGGGTTGAATCCATTGTAAGTGTATTCTCTATCTCGGAAGAATAAATTGTACGAATCAGATTTTTTTTTTTAATAAAAATTAGAAAAAAAACAAAGCCTAGGAACGCCTAAACTATTGTTCCATCCATGCCTACAGCAGTGACTGCTTCAGCATGGTAAAGCGATAAAATCCCATCTGGAGGAGAACGAAAGAGTCGAAGGCCAAAAGGTAGGTTCCATGCTAACTTCGCCATGGCGTCTGTGATATTACCTTCCCGAAGCACATGAGTAAACTTCACCTGCCAATCACGTCTAATAAAATCCACGATATGTGGAATCAAAGTAGAAACCAACTTCATATTTGTACCTTGCTGCAGTATCATCCATGCATCCTTGCTATCTGTCTCAAGAACTACAAGTCTTAACCCCAAATCCCAATCTACTTTGAGGCCTTCCAGAACTCCCAAAGTTCTGCATCCAGCACCGAACACACTCCTATGGCTTTCGTGAAACCACCAATCCATTCCCTAGTAGCATCACGAATAACTCCACCACAAGTTGTTAGACATGAAATAGGTCTCTAAGCACCATCTGTATTGATCTTAAATCAACCTGGTGGCGGAGGACTCCAACAAACTGCTCGGTCCATCCTATTTGGACCATTTACCGACGTTAAGAGTAAGTCCCATCCGTATGCGCCACAATGTTCACGATGTTCACTTGAATCCAGTCCACGATGTTCATGCCAAAGAATTCAACAAGCCGGTCTGGTTTGATTAATTCCTGCCAAGCAGTATGCGCCACAATACACTCTCTAAAAACATGAGTTAACGATTCCTTTGCTGCACCACAGTAGAGGCAGCTTTCGTCATTTGTCATGTGTCTTCCCATCCGTTCTTCATTTGTCACAATCCGACCCTTACAAATTAACCAAAGAAGGAGACGCACTCTTGGTAATCCCTGGAATTTTGCAATCGTTTTCCAAAGTTGATTCCCAGAAGTTCTGATTATTTCCATCCGACAATTGTAGGCGCTAGAGACAGAGAACTGACGATTATTTTCCAAAGTCCACCCTGGTTTCCAAAATTCATCAAGCAGCAAGTAGCAGTCTTATCAATATGAAGGCAATATATATATATATATACACAATCAATAACTATCTCCAGTTGTTTTCTTCATCCAACCGGAGATGTTTTAGCAGCGAGAAGAATGAGAGCTCGCCAGTGGTAACTTGTCCGTAGATTCTTGTACTTCTGCACAAAGGTCCCGATATCTATTTCCCCGTAAAGAAGCTGCCTGTTCACTATTTACGATTCCTCTTCTGTTGCATTCATTGCATTTACAAGGAAGTAAAACCATCTTTAAGAACTTCAGAGTTTCTTCTTTCTGTCTCTCGAGCTCGTTTAGTTTTTCCTGAGCTACCGCCAAGTGGTTCAGAAAATCTCACCTGGTTCTTAGCTCCATTATTTGTGGTTCTTTATCCAAATTGTTCCCTGTTTATTGAAAACATATAAATGTGAAGTTGTCTCCCTATGCACATTTCTATATCTGTGAAATTTATAGCATTATCATAATACTAAATGGAATAAGAACTCATAGTCTCCTTGTGAAGTTCATATCTTATCTGGCAAAAAAGTTAATTCCGAACGAGTAAGAAACCGACAAAAAAGATGAGATTCAGAGTAACGACGAACATGATTTTCTCGCCGCACGCATGCCAGTTCGAATAAATGGTTCTAAAACATAGCTAAAGTGCAACCCATCATGATGCCAACAAGGAATAGCAATATAACACAAAGCAAGGCCACGAGTTAGCGAAGAGCCATGCTATCATCGAACAGCACATTGTTGATGAAGCATTCGGGACCACCTTGCTTGGAGGATTACTGGCGTGGAGGGACCACGGCTGAGGCCACTGTTTGGGACCACTTTATATGACCATGGGAGGCGGCGGCAAGGCTGCGAGGATTCATTGGTAACCGTATTTTGGGTTTGTTGAATGTACAAAATGACCCTAATTTATTGGGCCTTATTGGTGTAATTGGGATTGGGCTTTGAATTATAAAACTTGGACTGTAGTTTGGACATTAATTTGAGTTTTGGGTTTGGTGGGTCATGCAAATGAGTTAATATTTGCAATTTGAGTGACTATTTAAAATAAAATCTTGAACGTCAATTTCTCCACCAAGTATGAATCGGATCGAATTCAAACGTTGAACGCTCAAAATTCTTCTTCGATCAATTAATATCCACTCAGACAAAATTAGGGCATTACATAAAGTTAGGAGTATTGTAACCAATTGGGATATTAAAATTTTGAAGGCGAATGGTACAAATAACTCAGTTTAAAAAAATTATCGTTAATAAATAGGATAATTTTTTTCTTCTATAGTAAGATAATGGTTTTTTATTCTAAACTATGATCGGGGATTATTTCAGTCATTTAACTTTTAAAAGTTATAAAAGAGTTAGTAAATTCGTTATATTATTACAAAAAGGTCACTATAAAATTATAATAAGTATAAACTTTTGATAAGTTTATGATCATTTTGTAACAATTTAATAAAATTTAATAACTATTTTGAAAGTTAAATAACCCAAAAAGATCATTTAAGTATAGTTCAGTGACCTATGATATACTTTACCCAATAATAATGAAAAAAAGAAAGTAGCGGTAACGCTCTGAAAAGGCGCGTAAGGTAACGTAACCCGGCTGTTATTATTTATTCCTTACAATTGAACGTCCCATGCAAGAAAACACCCTGGACTTTCTCTTCATTAGTCACAGTCTCCAAGTAACGCAAAAGAAATCAAATTCGAAAATCGTAACGCCGCTTTCAAGAAAAGTCTCGAATTTTCCTCTGGAAACCATTGGCTTTCGTGTTTGGAATTCAGTGAATCTTTGCTGAGGTAATAGTTCCGGGAGAAGGATCAACGGCGGTTCCAACGGCGGTGACGTTAACGGCGTCGATGGTTTCGTTGTACGTCGGGGATTTGCATCCCGATATCACTGACGGGACGCTCTTCGATGCTTTCAATTCGTTCAAAGGAATATCCTCTGTTCGTGTTTGTACAGATTCATCCACGGGAAGGTCTCTTTGTTATGGCTATGTTAACTTCAGTTCACTTGAGGATGGTGCGTTGAGACCTTACGTTGATTATCATGTCATCCCAGGTCTCTTGATAGGAAGGATTCAACTTGAGATCTTCTGGGTCACTGAGGACCTGTGAACAGTTGAAAAGATAAGAGAAGATGACAACTAATTGGTCTGACAATGGTAATCTGATCCAACTGGAACAACCATGTTATAACAACCATGGTAATCAGATGAATTGAAAAACTGATTTCAGCCATGAAAGGGTGAAAAAGTAAATATCCATGCATTTGGGCTTCACATGCCTTTATCCTTTTCTCGTACATCTGACCAGAGAAACTGCTTGCATATGACAATCAAGTTATAAAACTAAAGATCGCATGAAACACGAGAAACTCAATGTTTTCTTCACAATTTTTTAAGTGTTAAATTGTCCTACTCTAAGTAGAGAATTCTTCCAATCCAAATTGAACATGAGCACAATTTGCAGTTGCTTTAACTTGTTAATGTCAATAAGTGATATAATTTAATTCAAGTGATAAAATATGCTTACTTTCAAAATCTGAGTTGCCAGCTCCTCCCTTGCCAAAGGATTGTGCAGAAGAACCACTAAGCGTGCAAACAGCTCCTGAAGTTATAAGTAGGATGAAAGAGATTTACTTTCATAGATACAAAACCAAAGCAAACTTATTAGACATCATATATGATTAATGTTGGTAATGCTCAATTTGTAACAGTTTTTAAAGGTTTTTAATTCTATGTTTAATAGAATTAAATTGTGATTTGGAAGTGACTATTTTGCCCTCACTATTTAGCCTATAAATAGAGGGCAATTTCATTCACTTTGAGATATCCCAAGCAAACATTTGCTTTGAAACACTCCTATCTTTTGAGTGTTGTTTGAGTTGAGAGAAGAGCAATACCACCAAGTTCACTCCAGTTTTCGGGTGTACGAATTCTTGGAGAGCCGTGTTAACCTCAGGGGGTTGTTCGTCCATTGTAGCGATTACACACATCGGGGCGAATTTGCTTCTAAGGCAGTGGATTACCACGACACGGTTATCATTCTGATTGATTATTTTATTTAATATTTTTCAGTCAGTGCTAACGCCTCGTTTTGCAGCAGTCTATTTTACTAACAATTTAGAAGCAAATTCTTATACTGCTGTTAAAAGAATATTTGTCTTGATTGATCATCGTTACAAGGATCTTTAATCCGAGTTCAGGTTTGATCTATCATGTTAAATGTTACATGTCTAATCTTTTACGAGAAACTGGCAATCAAGGCATGTGGGATGAAGTGTTTGTTGAGTATGGATTAGTCATGGCAGTAAACGTAAAGATGTTCGAAGGTATTTGGGATGAAGGGTTCTTCCCATAAATATGCTAGGAAGTATGTTACATTTCCATAATGCATACGTTTTATTATAATAATGCATACGTTTTATTATAATAATGCATAATAATGATGTTTAAAACATATGCACGTTAGCAATTAAAGTCATTAAATATTGTTTTTAACAAATGATATTTATTGGTAAGCATGAATATGTTATAATCATTATGACATTATTGATATGCTTTAATCATTGAAACGATTGGTTTATTATTAAAGGTGTAAAATCATGTTTATATATATATTAGATTGCCAATGTTACGCATGTACCATAATTGAATATTAGTGGTATATTCAATGCATTAAAGAATGAATGCACATAAGTTATAAAATTTATGATGGTAACTTATGTGAATAAATGTTTTTTACGTTTTTATTGTCTGCATTTATAAATGCACAATAACATATTTATCATGTGGTTTGGGAGATTAAAGTTATAAATGACTTTAAATTGGATTTATATGAAAATCCTTTAAAGATGTTTGATTAATTTTTGTAACATCATAATCAAGGAGAAATGATTTTTAGAATTCATGGTTGTTTAAACGTTTAAACCGTTTTTGAATATATACCTATATTTTATTGCTATAGTTTAGAATATAGTAAAATAGGTATTTGGGAAAACGTTGATTTCAATGCTAAGATGCTTTAGATGCTATAATGATATGAGTTATAACCACCGTTAGCATAATGAGAATTTATATATTTATTAATATGCTATAACGGTTTCACTAATGTGATTTTTGTAACTCATTATGTTGTTATATTAAAAGGAGCATGTTAAAAGGTGTTGTTACATGAGTTAAAGGTGAGTAACATCTTTATTTACTAATACGTTTGGGTTGAAACAATTCTATGCATTTATTATAGCTTTAAATATTGGATTTATATTACTTTGTAAATAAGTTTGAATTGAAACGTTGAATAATTTTAATTGGCCATTATTTGTGCAAATTATAGCTTTAATGGTGTTTATTTACAAAGTAATATACAGATTGAAGTATTAGCCGATGGTGGTTTCACTCGTTCTCGTTTGGGTCTTGGTTCACGAGAATGTTGAAATTGGTTAATTTATTATTATTATAATAAATTTTGAATTGTTATTGAAATGCCCATTTGTTATATGCATGGTGAAAGAAACCTTTAATGTGCATTAAGGTTAATCAATTTAAATGCAATAAAGCTTTGCATTAATATTTACATGAAACTCATGTTTTCACATTTAGTGTTGCAGTTTCATGATTTTTTTAATCTTAAGCATGAATGTTAATTATAATCATTATATTTAAATGGTTTTTAAGTTTCAATAGGAGGTTGAACAATTTATTAAATAGTTATATATATGTTTGTTAATAGCTATATAAATGTTGGTGTTTAGTAAATGTTCAATTTTGAAACTTATATGCTATAATCAAGAAGTGACATGATTATAATGTTGATTAACATTTTTGTGAGATAATGCATGTATGATTGGTTAATATGTGGAAAAGATTAACTATTTATTTTCATGTGGGAGTAAGATTATTCAGTTTCTGAATATTAAGTTGAAAATAAATTTTATCATACTGATAATTTCTTTTGAAATATTTATAAAGATAACAGGATGGTTGTAATTTTGGAGAATCATGAAGATGATGATGCAAAGAATGAAGTTGCATGCATGGTGAGAATGAACAAGTCTATTTGGAATTGTGATTCTACCTGTGAGGTCAGATTGTTTAGACTTGTTGCCTGTTAATTCATGCCTTTTAAATACATGAATTAGATTGCATGAGCCTTTAAGATAGTCTTTAAAACTCAGTGGATACTATAAAATGAGATAAAACCGCTATTAAAGACTAAGGTAGTACTACTAAGGCTAAGGCAGTAGTTTGAGCCCAAAATTTATATGCTTAATAAGATACTATTGTGAGAAAATTCACAAATGATTTATTGGAAAGAAGTGTGATGAGTATGAAAGTGCATGTCTAGGATTGGTTCTATGAAGACTTGGTACTTAAGCGTGCCTAGTGCACCACCTCTCTTTCATAGAAACCTACCTGGTGCATTGTTCATTACTATGCTCACTATTCCAATACTATGACAAGATAAAAACTCTTACAAACTTAGTGCAGAAGTTAAAAGAGTAGAGATTAATTTGGTTGAGCGGAATACCAAATTTAGTCATAGTAAATAAAATATATGATGATCTCTTTAAGGATAATATGTTGAATATCATGAATGAGTATATGATATAATCTATTGCTACTAAAAGTGTGTTGTAGCTATTAAATCTCTTTAAGTGATTTTCCTAAGTAAAGGAAAGAAAAGAGATTATTTATTTCATAATGGTTTATGCATTTTAATCTTAATGATTTATAACTTCTCAAAACTTTGAGAATATAATTATGTGTAAACAAAACTTAAGTTTATTAAAATATAGTTTTATGGCTAAAACTCATAACAAACTTTACTCTAGTATGATTGAGTATTTGTTTACATGTTTTACAAGACACTTATGGATATCCTAAAATGTTAGAAATGTGGGGGTGTCTTAAAATGTAGATTAAATGCATAAACTCAAATAGAAAATATTCTATCAACTTCTTCTAGTATTCCTGCTAGGCCTTCTCAAGAAATTGATTTCGAGACTAGAAGAAGTAAAAGGCTATTTGGACCAAATTTTATCACTTCCTTTATTTCTGAGATAAATGATTTAGACTCTCTTTCTGATCATATAGCTTAAATATTATATAAGGATCCTAAAAAGGCTATAAGATCTATCGATACTAGTTCTAGAAAAGCACTATTAATGATGAACTAGAATCGATAATGTCTAATCATACTTGGGAATTAGTTGACTTGCCTAGAGGATTTAAACCAATCTGTAGCAAATGAATCTTCCGGAAGAAAATGAGACCAGATGATTTGATCCAGTGGTACAAGTCAAGGCTAGTTGTCAAAGGGTTCACTCAAAAGTTTGTTTTAAACTACTTTGATTCTTACTCTCCCATTATGAACATCTCAACGATCCGTGCATTATTTGCACTAGCCTCCATTCATAAGTTGCAAGTACATCAAATGGATGTTAAGACTGCATTTTTGAATGGAGACCTAGATGAGGAGATCTATATGAGAACAATGGTACAAGAAATTTCATAAAACTATACTTAGTTTTGGTTTTGTTGTGAATGGTTCGGATGCTTGCGTGTATTCGATGATGTTTGATACTGATTGCGTCATCATAAGTTTTGTATGTTGATGACATGTTGATTTTCAGTTCTAACATTGAGTCCATTAACAAAACAAACGGTTTCTTGTCCACTAAATTTGAGATGATGGATCTGGGAGAAGTTGATGTAATCTTAGGAGTCAAAATTACTGGAAAGGGATTTTCTTTATGTCAAGCACACTATCTTGAGAAAGTGTTAAAAAAAATTTGACAGTTTTGACGTCGTCCCTGTTCGAACTCTTGTGACACTAGCATATATCTCTTTAAGAATAAAGGAAGTAGCGTTTCCCAAACATAATATGCTAAATTAATCAGAAGCTTAATGTTCTTAATGAACTATACTCGGCCTGATATTGCTTATGTTGTGAGTTGACTAAGTAGATATACTCATAATCCGAGTGGTGAACATTGGATTGCTCTTAGATGCTTACTGAAGTATCTTAAGGGTACTTTGGATTGGAAACTTAAGTTTGTTGGCTATCATGCGGTACTGGAAGGATATTGTGATGCCAACTGGGTTTCTGATAATGATGAAGTAAGCTCTACGAACGGGTATGTATTTACTTTGGGTGGAGCAACAATCTCATGGAAATCATCGAAGCAGACTTGTATTGCTCATTCTACCATGGAGTCAGAGTTTATAATTCTTGACCTAGCTGAGCAAGAAGCCGAGTGGCTCGGAAGCTTGTTAGCAAATATTTTGTTATGAGGAAGACCGACTCCTCCGATTTCTTTGTTGTGTGATTCGCAAGCTATGATATGTGTACAATGGTAAGAAAAGACACGTTCGCATAAGGAATGAATCAGTTAGACAATTAATAAAGAATGGAGTGCTCTCTTTAGAGTATGTGAAGTCGGAAAGGAACCTAGCAGATCCTTGGTCCTAGATTCGTCGAGGGGGATGGGCCTAAAGCCCATTGGTTGAGGAATTCATGGTGGATACCCAACTTAGTTATCTAAGTTCCATGTGGTCAAACGAAACCATGGAAAGACTCATAGTGCACATTCCTACTGCCTATCCCTATGATGAATAATGTGCATGCCCAGGATGAGCTTAATTGCTCTTAATAAATTCATAGCCCAGGCTTTGGGTGGTCTTAGTGAGAAAGACTTGATGAATTTACCGATTTTGGTTGAATATCTATTCTTAATAAGTTCATAACCCAGAGTTGAGTGGGTAGTTCTAATCGCGAAGGACTAGATGAACTTACCGCTTGAGAGGATGAGTTTTATTAAACTCTTAATGAATTCAAACCCAAGAGGTTCCTAGTGAGAAGGACATATTGAATGGGAGTTCCTAGTGAGAAGGACATATTGAATTCACCGAATTATGAGGCTGAATATTTATTCTTAATGACTTCTTATCCAGAGTTTGGGTGGTTCATTAATAATGAACTTGAAGAAAGTCACCATACTCTTTGTGAGGTTGAGCTATTATAAAAGCTCTTAATTATTTCATAGCTCAGTTTGAGTGGTTTATGTTGATATAAACTTGATGAAATAACCTACGTAAGTGAGAAGGATTAGCCACCTTCTATGAAAAATGTTGGGCCATTTTTCTAGTACACTTATTAGAATCCTGAGGAAAGAGGGCTAAACATATATACGTTTTTGTATATATTCTTTGTAGACACATCGAGAACTTTGGTGGATGAAGGGGTTAGTTGTGTGTTATGAGTTTACCCCAATATTAGAAAGTTCCAGACTAGTTTCACTTATCTAAGAGAAGGATTGCTCATCATCACTATGTACTAGTTCCAGATACGTTCACTAGTGCTTAAACAACAAATCTCGCTATTGCTCTTCTCATGTTTTTACTTCATTGCTCTCATCTTTACGAAAGAATTCTTTCGCATTAGTGGGGGAATGTTGGTAATGCTCAATTTGTAACAGTTTTTAAAGGTTTTTAATTCTATGTTTAATAGAATTAAATTGTGATTTGGAAGTGACTATTTTGCCCTCACTATTTAGCCTATAAATAGAGGGCAATTTCATTCACTTTGAGATATCCCAAGCAAACATTTGCTTTGAAACACTCCTATCTTTTGAGTGTTGTTTGAGTTGAGAGAAGAGCAATACCACCAAGTTCACTCCAGTTTTCGGGTGTACGAATTCTTGGAGAGCCGTGTTAACCTCAGGGGGTTGTTCGTCCATTGTAGCGATTACACACATTGGGGCGAATTTGCTTCTAAGGCAGTGGATTACCACGACACGGTTATCATTCTGATTGATTATTTTATTTAATATTTTTCAGTCAGTGCTAACGCCTCGTTTTGCAGCAGTCTATTTTACTAACAATTAACACCTATTACCTCAGGATTTGGAATATCGCTGCGAGATTTACAGTCATCAACTATATTATTGTTATAAGATCTATGTCTGCATAATTCTGCAATGCATATGCATACCTGGGTAGCAGAATAAATGACCACTCATAAAATTTATTGAATTCTGAACATTAACATAAAAGGTGTGCCACGCACAAAACAATAAGATAAAGCCTAGAGGAAACAGGAAAACATAGAGTGGCAGTAAAGCAAAAGACAAAAGTGCAGTGGATTAAAGATGGAGATAAAAACTCCAAATTCTTCTATTCGACGATTGCATTTAAAAACAAGAGGGAAACTATTCGTGTTCTTGTTGATGATCAAGGCAATAGATTGGAGACCTTTGAAGCAATGTCGAAAGAAGTTATCTCTTTTTATTCGAATCTGATTGGTACAACTGATAACAGGGTCAAAGACATTGATCCTAATCTCCTTAAAGATCTTCTCAATTACTCAATGCCATATGGTGCTTCATCTAGCCTTGTTAAGGAAATTACCAGAGAAGAGATTCAGAAAGCTGTATTCTGCCAAGGCAATGATAAAGCTCCCGGACCTGATGGCTACACTCCTTTTTTCTTCAAGAACTCTTGGAATATAGTGGGTGAGGATGTTGTTGCTGCAGTCAAATTTTTCTTTCTCAAGACTACAATTCATCCTGCTTTTAACTCTACTATTATTGCTCTTGTTCCAAAAATTCCAAATCCGAGTGCAATTAAAGACTATCGGTCAATCTCTTGTTGTTCTGTAATCTACAAAATCATTACTAAAATCATTGTTAGAAGATTGACAGATTTTCTCCCCGAGATTATTACTCTGAATCAAACGGCTTTCATCAGAGGCAGGAGCATTATAGATAATACCCTCCTTGCTCAGGAGATGGTTAAAGGTTATGGAAGAAATTCCATTTCCCCGAGATGCGCTCTGAAGATTGATCTTCATAAAGTTTTCGACTCCATTCACTGGGGATTTATCATCCAAATTCTTAAAGCTCTCAATCTCCCTCCTGTTTTTATTGAATGGATTGAAGCATGTTTCACACAACCAAGGTTTTCCATTTCTTTTAATGGAACTTTAATAGGCTATTTTAAAGGTGCTAGAGGCCTAAGGCAGGGAGACCCTCTTTCCCCGTATCTTTTTGTTCTTGCAATGAACATTTTATCCCGAATGCTCAATTTTGCTGTCGAAAGAGGAATATTTGGTTATCATCCTAAATGCAAGAAAATTGGTCTTACTCACCTCTCGTTTGCTGACGATTTGCTGATCTTTTGTAAAGGTAATGTAGATTCTGTTGTTGGTGTGCTTACTATTCTTGACCGATTCTATGAAGTCTCTGGGCTTAAATTGAATCCGGCCAAATGTGAGATTTTTGCTACGGGGATTTCTACAAGAACCATTGATAATTTAAAGATTATTACGGGGTTTCAGATCGGAAGTCTTCCTGTTCGTTATCTTGGTATTCCGCTTGTCTCTCGCAAACTTACTGAAAAGGATTGCCAAGCTTTAATTGATATGATCAAGCTAAAACTTCATCAATGGTCTAGCAGAAATCTCAGTTATGCAGGCCGATTAGAGCTCATTAGATCAGTCTTATTCAATGTTAGCAATTATTGGTGCAGACAACTTGTTCTACCATCTTCTATTCTTAAAAAAGTTGATCAAATCTGCTCTAGGTACTTCTGGAAAGGTGCAGATAAATCTGCAGCTGGTGCTCGTGTGAGTTGGGATAACATCTGTACTTCCAAATCAGAAGGTGGCCTTGGATTGAAGAACATTAAAACTTGGAACAGAGCTTGTCTCATTCTTCTAATCCGGAAAATATTAGCAGGAAACGGTTCTCTGTGGGTCGCTTGGCTCAACGCTTATGTCTTTAAGGATCGGGATTTTTGGAACTATCAAGCAGCAGCTAACTTAAGTTGGAGCATCAAACGGATCTTAAAAACAAGGGCTGAAGCTCGTCCATTAATTTCTGCAGGTTCTGCGCAAGTCAAGGAAATTTGGGACGTGATTCGTTGTAAAGGGCAGATTGTTATATGGCACAAACTCATTTGGTTTCCACTGCATATTCCAAAGTTTAGCTTGATTGCTTGGATGGCTTTACTCAACAAATTGCCTACAAAAGACCGACTTCTTAGAATGGGAATTAGCAACGACAATACTTGCGTTAACTGCAGCAATTCTTACGAGTCAAGAGACCATCTTTTTTCACAATGTACACTGGCAGTGGATCTCTGGAATTTAATTCTGAAACTTAATGGGATGCAGTCCTCTTTCTTACCATGGAATGAAATGGTAACAAAGGTTTGTTCCTTATGGAAAGGAAGGTCTTTGCTTACTACCATCCTGAAAATTTCCTGGACTGCAGTTATTTATATTTTGTGGCAAGAGCGAAATCATAGAATCTTCCAAGGCCGTAGTAGAACGATTGATTGCTTGCTAAAGGAGGTTAAAGACGTCGTTGGAATCCGTCTTAGGGAAATAATATTAATAGACTTGATTGTATTAACTTAAAGCTTTGTAATGCTTGGGGTATAGGCTAGCCGATCATTTTGTATAGGCTGTTTGTTTTGATGTTGATTGATTGATTGGTTGTATCTTAACTTTGTTTGGGTAATAAAATCAAAATTATCCAAAAAAAAAAACAACATAAAAGACTTAAATCATTTAAGATGTATCTTACAGTGGCAACTGCACCAGTATAAGCCTGAGGAATGATCATTGTCAACAGAAATGGCCAAAGAATGTGCTGCATAAAAACTAGATATCAACTAAACGGAACTTTTTTTCTGTTAACTTTCTCTAGGAAAGACCCTTCATTAGAGATTTAATGGTTGAAGAAAGGAGAAATCAGTATACCTCCATTTCGGGAATTGTGATAGTTACAAGCAGAAGACCTTTTTCACATATTGCTCTTAATTCCATTCGAGAAGTTGACCTTGTGTTCACCTAAGAAAACAATAACTGATGGTACATCTAACATGACATACAAGATTATACTTTACATGATCCTGAGAATTTGTTAAAGAAAAAATCCGGCAAGCAGGATTCAAATTTGAAGGTTTGAAAGACATCTAAGCACTCTAGCTGGTTCAACAAATTAATGTGAAGCCTTCACCACAATCAACTATCATAAAAGCAGAAGGATGAAAAACTGATAAGATATAAGAACATATATTTGATTAATAGCACTATGAATTGCATTCTATAAAACTACATACCAACATACCTCAGAGAGATCCTTTCGGATGCCTAAATTTTGCTCATCTAGCAAGAATTTTACAGTATCCACTAGCAAAGCCCTCTTATTGTGCCAAGCTTCAGATGACCTTAAATGAAATGCAAGGAAGTCATGCAAGATAATGAATAAACAAAATTACGAGACAAAAAGAAATAAATAAACCCGGGCAAAGATGCTTCAAAACACAGAGGGCGCCAAAAGTTAGAGGTTCTTCCTTTAATCTACATTTCTGTTAGCAAAAAATAAACAAATAAAAGAAAAGGTAAGTCAAAACATTACCTATTTATCACCACTATTCAGAAAACAAAACTGGATCTGTGTACTTATCTAACAATGATGCACAAACGGTTTAACCATTGATGTGGTATCAATAAGAAATGTGTATACATACACTCAGAAAAAATAAAATAAATCCTCGGGGTATACAGAGCCAACCGTCAAAAAGCAACGCTGTACTTCATTGTATGTCTGCAATGCAGTATAACAATAATGATGTCGAAAAGGAAATGGAACCAAATATCAAGTAGATGAAAAGAACTTGACGTGCTCAAGTACAAACACTATTAGCAAAAAATAGCCAGCATGTAATCTTACCTTCAGTCCCACAGAAAATTTTGAATGCTCTTTGCTGTCATTATTCACGCAGATGACAGGGAGGAGTGTGCATAATATGACTGTAAGCTCCTGCAAAGAAAACATGAAACATCCACCAAGAAAATAAATAAATAAATTGACTCTCATATAGTACCTACAAAAAAATTAGTTGAACAGAAATAGGGAAGAAAAACAATAACGGATATGAATTGTAATGAAAAATTATTAACGGGAGTAGGTACAAGTCAACAAAATTAGAAGAGAAATAAGGGCTTTAACTCAAAAATCAAGCAAAGGAGGGCCTGTTTCTGAAAGTAAGGAAGCATTTAGCAGATTATATAGACTACAGGTTGCAAAAAGTGTAACAACCCGGAAAAAAAATTATATTTAAGCAATTTGGTGAAATTTGGAGATTAAATTACAAGTTTCAGAACTTGTAGGCTGTTTTAGAAGTTGAAGAAAATTCAGTGACCTAACCCTGAATTTCCCCTTTTAGTGTCAGCAGCAATATCCTTATATGCTTCAATTTGGGTTCTGGTTTCACACCAGAACAAATACTCACACATTTCCTCCCCCGTACCCCTACTTCCAAAGCTGATTCCGTCGCTGTCCGTCCACCGTTCGTCGATCCGAAACCACCATCGTGTTCGTCTTCGACCGGTGAACAAAATCCTGTAAACCGATCATACCAAAACGTTGTCTAACATCGTGAATTTCGATTCAAAGTTTCGACTTTTTTTTAACACCACCGCTATGAAAATCGTCAATTCATCATCGATCGTTGCTCCGTTTTCGATACCTCCCGCACCATCATGTTCCTTGTGTCGTTCCGAGTCCACCGGTGTCCGTCGCGTCTCCGCCGCTAGAATCCAACTTTTACTTTGACAAAGTCCAAGTAAACACATCTGCCATGTGCAACAGCCAACAGATGACTGACCATTGAAGTTCATCTCATTTCTGTTTTGAACAATCTGTTGCCAATGGATCATTGGTTTCATTTTCACAACATTTATCCTCAAGTAAAATGGATATAAATGTCAATGGTGGGGCTCCATAATTGTGACCCTTCTGAGAGTATCCTCCGTACAATCCAGACTTCATTGAAAAGTCTCCTCTATCATTTTCTTATGCAAGAAATTAATGTTTTCTGAATATATAGGTTGAACAGGATAATGTCAAAGTTGGACAACTGTTTATTTTTAACTCTACCTCTAGTTGATGTACAAAGCCTTCTCAGGTACAATATTGCTTCCTCGGTCCTCGCTCTTTGGTATCATTAACATGGCTTATTTCCTCTCACTTCTCTCAACTCTCTTCTTCCTCATAGTGTCACCTTCTTCTTCTCAACCCATCTAGTTCTTCTTCCCCAGATTCAAACACTTAAATGACCCCAACAACTTAACATTAACAGGGGTGTCACAGATTGAACAAAATGGCATGTTACGCTTAACTAATTACACCCCTCGTTTAGTGGGTAAATCAAGAACACAGAAGTAGTTGAAGATTGGAGCTGGAGATTGACGAGGCGGATTCGGTCGTGTTTACAAAGGAACACTTGGAAATTCAAACACTCAAGTTGCTGTCAAGCAAGTTTCCCATGAATCAAGGCAAGGTTTACGTGAATTTGTTGCAGAAATTTCTAGTATCAGAAGGCTTCAACATCGGAATTTGGTTCAGCTATTGGGATGGTGCAGGAGAAGAGGCGACCTTCTTCTTGTTTACAATTTCATGGCTAATGGCAGTTTAGATAAGTTTTTGTCTGATGACCCAGATTCAAACATTAAATGACCCTCACAACTTAACATTAACAGGGGTGTCACAGATTGAACAAAATGGCATTTTACGCCTAACTAATTACACCCCTCGTTTAGTGGGTAAAGCTTTTTATAGCTCTCCATTTCGATTCAAGAACTCTACTAATGGCTCATCCTTTTCATTTTCAACCTCGTTTGTTTTGGCCATAGTTCCCGAGTTTCGACGCTTTGGTGGTCACGGCCTTGCTTTCACAATCACCACTTCTGTAGATCGCAGAGCACCTTCAGATCAGTATCTAGGAATCTTCAACACGACCGATATGGGTAACTTCTCGAACCATCTTGTTGCAGTTGAGTTCGACACGGTTCAAGATTTTGAGTTTCGAGACATGGACGACAGCCAGATCGGTATTGACATAAACAGCTTGCACTCAAATGCTTCAGTCTCTGCCAGTTACTACACCCAAGGTGGTTCCACAAAGCAAAATCTTACTCTCAAGAGTGGGAAACCAATCCAAGCTTGGATTGATTACGATTCAGTTGAGAACGTCATGAATGTAACGATTGCACTTCAAAAAGACCATCTCCCCTTGTCTTTTCATGTAGATCTCTCACCGTTTCTTCACGAGTTTAAGTATGTTGGTTTCTCAGCTTCTACAGGCCATGTTCTTGCCAGCTCTCATTATATTTTAGGGTGGAGCTTCATTCCCTGGACCACCAAAAAAACATACAACATTAACAGTTGGTGTCTCGGTTTCATCTGCTGTTGTCATAATTGCTCTTTCCATTGCAGTTTATGTCATTATCAAAATCAAGAACACAGAAGTAGTTGAAGATTGGTAGTTGGAGATTGGCCACAAAGATACTCCTACCGAGAACTCAAGCAAGCAACCAACAGTTTCAGTGACAAAACTTTACTCGGACGAGGTGGTTTCGGTCGAGTTTACAAAGGAACGCTTGGAAATTCAAACACTCAAGTTGCTGTCAAGCGAGTTTCCCATGAATCAAAGCAAGGCTTACGTGAATTTGTTGCAGAAATTTCTAATATCGGAAGGCTTCGACATCGGAATTTGGTTCAGCTATTGGGATGGTGCAGGAGAAGAGGCGACCTTCTTCTTGTTTACGATTTCATGGCTAGTGGCAGTTTAGGTAAGTTTTTGTTTGATGCCCTATAACTATCCTGAATTGGGACCAAAGATTTAGGATCATAAAGGGTGTGGCTTCTGGTCTTCTCTATTTACACGAAGGATATGAACAAATTGCGATTCATAGGGATGTTAAGGCCAGTAATGTATTATTAGATGATGAGCTGAATGCACTGTTAGGAGATTTCAGCCTTGCAAAATTGTATGAACATGGTTCAAATCCAGGGACAAGTCTAATTGTAGGCACAATGGGATATATAGCACCGGATCTGCCCAAGACAGGAAAGGCCACAACAAGCTCCGATGTCTATGCTCTTGGTGCACTCTTGCTCGAGGTTGCTTGTGGGCGCAGGCCTATTGATCTCAAAGCATTGCCCGGGGAAATAGTGTTGGTTGATTGGGTATGGGAAAAGTTTAGGCAAGGGAGGGTCCTTGATGTGGTAGACACTAGGCTCAATGGCCAATATGATGAAGGTGAGATGATGACGGTGCTTAAGTTAGGCCTAATTTGTTCAAATGACGTGCCTGCGGCATGGCCAAGCATGAGGAAGTTAGTAAGGTATCTTGATGGAGAGGTTGACTTACCAGAAAATTTGACACCACCAGCTGCATTTCATGGGGGCGCAGAGGGATTTGATGCCTTTGTGCATTCGTTCTAGTCCTCATCCTCATCCCCGTCATTGGATAATATGATTTCATATCCATTCTTGGAAATGGTAATGCCGATACTAGCTAGCTTCGCTTTTATTTCAAGCTCTCCACTTCCTGAGGACAAACTATATACTGTATTGTGTTTCAAGTTAGGACTAATTTCTCTCACGAACATGATGTTTCAATGATATTTTTTCTGATCCAATATTTTTGGCCAAATATAATCAATCATAGTTCAAAGAAAAATATGAATTCAGTTAAAATCAAATCATTAGAATCATTTCTAATTTTCTCAAATGTGTATTCAATGGCCGCAATGCAATCATAAGTTCTTGTTGCCCTAGGAGGAGGATGCTGATGGTGGTGACATTTTCTTTGACCGGAGCAAAGTAGAAGACGATGGCAGTGAGTACTAGTTGATCATGGCTTGAAGAAGTTACTTCCTTAGGCTTGTAAAGTTATTATCAATTCCTCTGGCTGCAATTACTCAGATGACTTTGGAAATCAAAGTTTACCTTCTTCTCCATAAAGAAATGTGGGACTTCATAATTAATGTTTAATTGACAAGTCTCCCTCTATCATTTTTCTTATACAAGAAATTAATGATCTCTTAATATTTATAGATTGATTGATGTGAAACGTAGAAAGTGGTGGGAAGTAGAACAAGTATGACATGACACGGTTATGGAAAAAAAATATCAATCATAGAAGCTAGCCCCGAGTATACTCATTGAACTAAAGCGTGGAAAAAGCAAATCATAGCCAGTAGACACATGGCTTCGAAAGAAAACTTGGACAGATTGACGGGAGATAGAATAGGATAATATCAGAGTTTGAGAACTATTATTTCTTGTTGATGAACAAAGCCTTCTCAAATACAAATCAATCTCAAATCCATAACCCCAAAATTTTCCTTCTCATAATTCATCATGTCATTGTTACCTTCAACTTTATCATGTATTTCTAGAAAGAAATACGACGTTTTCTTGAGTTTTAGAGGTGAAGATACCCGCAAAAACTTCACAGATCATCTCTATGATGCTCTAAATCGAAATGGAATTATCAGTTTCAGGGATGATTCAAAGATGGATGCCGGTGAAGAGATCGCACCACAACTTTTCCGAGCCATTCAACAATCGTGGTGCTCGGTAATTGTATTTTCAGGAACCTATGCCTTTTCAAGTTGGTGCTTGGAGGAGCTTGCTGAGATTGTTAAACAAAAAAACGAGAAAGGACATAAAGTGTTTCCAATTTTCTGCGACGTGAATCCATCTGATTTAAGAAAACAGAAAGAAAAAGTTGAAGAAGCATTTGCCAAACATGCAGAGAGATACAAGGAAGATAAAGAAAAGATTCTAAGGTGGCGAACTGCTTTGACTCAAGTGGCTAACATCAAAGGATGGCATTTAAATGACAGGTAAACCATTCTTTTCTTTCCTGTTTTCTTGTTTAATTACTTTAATAATTATAAAAATGAACTGAATTTTATTTCTTTGTAGGCATGAATCAGAGTTTATTGGAGATATTGTTAGAAAAATATCAGCAAAATTATGTCAGACATATCCAATTGTTCATGATGAGTTGGTTGGAATTAGTTCACGCTTGGAGGAGTTGCATTCCAAAATAAAGATTGGGGAAGATGACATCCGCATCATAGGAATTTACGGAATGGGTGGCATCGGTAAAACAACTCTCGCAAGAGTTGTATACGACCAAATGTCATCTCATTTTGAAGGTAAATGCTTCATTGCTGACGTTCGAGAAGTTTCAGACAAATTTGGACTCGTTTCTCTACAGAAACAACTTCTTTTCCAGATCTTGACTGGTGAAGTCTTCGAAATTTTCAATGTTCATGAAGGGAATGCCATAATTAGCCGCAGATTATCTAACAAAAAGGTCCTTGTTGTGGTTGATGATGTGGATAATTTACAGCACTTGAAATGCTTGATTGGAAGGCATGATTGGTTCGGTTTAGGGAGTAGAATCATTATAACAACAAGAGATGAACACTTGCTCCAATCTTACCGAGTTGATGATGTGTATAAGCCTTCAACATTGAATGACAGCGAGGCACTTCAACTTTTCAGTTTGAAAGCTTTTGATAGTGAGACAGCACCAAATGATGTTTTCATTGAGCTTTCTGAACATGTTGCAAAATATGCCAGTGGTCTCCCCTTAGCTCTTGAAGTCTTGGGTTGTTTTTTATGCGGTAGAGATGTAGCTCAATGGAGAAGTGTAATCCAAAGACTTGAAAAGGATTCTAACAAAGAGATTATTGACAGACTTCGAATTAGCTTTGATGGATTGGAAGAAACGGAGAAGAACATATTTCTAGATATAGCATGCTTCTTCAATGGGGAATCGATGTTCTCATTAAGAAGTCTCTTCTAACAGTTGACGAAAACAACATATTATGGATGCATAACTTACTACAAGAAATGGGAAGAAGAATTGTTCGGGAAAAATCTATTGAGGAGCCTGGAAAACGTTGTAGATTGTGGGACGAAAAGGATGTATATCATGTGCTAACGAAGAACACTGTAAGTCATTCCAGAGAAATTGCATATTATATTAATGTTAAAGACAGAAATGATACACACAATGTAATTTTTCACAAGTTTTATCACAGAAATTACCTCATTTTATTTTGTGTTTCTTATGTCTTACTTTTGAATGTTTTTAGGCTACGGAAATGATTGAAGGCATGATCATTGACAATAAAAGGTAGGAAAACATACATAAACATGCACCCATGTGTAAATTTCATATTTGGTCAAAAGTGGCCCTTAAAGTTTTATTATATCACCGTACTTTTATTTTGAAAATCCTTGAAGAATCATCTCTATGTTTCTATTCGGATGTGTGGGATACGACAGAGCATAGATAAATTAAGTGTTGGAGCAGCCTTGCTTTTAGGTATGGAATGCTTTGGGATATTTTCAAATTTGAACTGAATTTTCGTTGTTTTACCCTTGGTTATCAGGATATCCAACAAGATGCTCAATTTGAATGTTAATGCTGTCTCGAAGATGAAAAAATTGAGATTGCTCAAAGTCCTTTGCCTCTCAAATTGTGATGAACTCAAATATCTTCCTAATGCGTTACAGCTGTTAGATTGGATGGGATATCCTTTAAGATTCTTACCTCCAAGCTTCCAACCAGACAACCTGGTTGCACTTCTCTAATTCATATGATCATTGTTTTTTAACTTATTTTAGGAATATTAACTAAATCTTCTCTAATTTATTATTATTTTCAGCATCCCCTGTATAAGTTGAAAGTGCTCAACCTCAAAGGGTCCGAAAACCTGATCGAGACACCGGACTTTACAACAGCCCCAAATCTGGAAATTTTGATATTGGAAGGTTGTACAAGAATAGTAGATGTTCATCCATCAGTCGGAGTTCTTTCGAGGCTTAAACTTCTGAATTTAAGAAGCTGCACAAGTCTTAGGAATCTTCCAACCAAAATTGGAATAGAATCTCTTGAAACATTAATCCTAAAAGATTGTAGAAACCTTATTAGTCTCCCAAGCAGCATAGGTGGGTGTAAATGTCTAAAAACTCTTGATCTTTCAGGTTGCTATGAAGTTGAAAATTTGCCGGAGAATTTGCAGCAAGTAGAGTTGTTGGAAGAGCTTGACTTAAGTGGAACTGCCATAGCAAAACCGCCATCCTTCATTTTTCAACTTCAAAATCTTAGAGTTTTGTCTTTGAATAGGCTCAAGACACCATCATCTAAGTTAGCACCAAATCTAGCTTCTCTTTTCCAGGTATTCCAAAGAGGACGGATCGAGTCTGTGCCTCTTATGTTACATTCATTGTCAGGTTTGATTTCATTAAGAGAGCTGAAACTTAGGAGCTGCAATCTTCGTGAAGGAGATATTCCAAGTGATATTTATTGTTTACACTATTTGGAAAAGCTTGAGCTTGGTGGTAACAATTTCATCAGAGTACCTGTGTCTGGTGTTAGATTTCCCAGTCTTCAATATCTTGGATTGTCAAATTGCAGGGAGCTTAAATCGTTTCCTAGTCTTGGTGCTTCTCGAGAACTATTTGCAGCTCCATCAAAGGTTTTCAATGCAGTGGATTGGACACGGAGTTCTGGCCTTCACTGCTACAGATTGGTTGAGAATAGCAATGCATTAACAATACTGAAATACCGTCTTAAGGTCGATTTATCATTCTTTCGTATTTACTGAATCTCGTTTTTAAATAATTATATTCTTAGTTACCAAGCAACATAAGTTTTATTTTGCAGCAAGTTGCATATTTAAAAAAAAGTTTTGATGGTGTTATACCTGGAGGTGAAATACCAAAATGGTTCAGGCATCAAACAGTTGACTCTTCAATCAAGATACCACTGCCTAAAAATATTCAGAATGATAGTCAATGGATCGGAGTTGCTTTCTGCTGCATTTTTGTCAACGATGATGCTTCAAGGAATGAGGAACTCACATGTGATGCTATTATCCATCATAGAAATTCTGGACAAGCTGATTCTGATGGATCTGGTTTTCGGGATAGAAATCCTCGACGTGTCTCAGGGGACGGTTGGATTTTTTCTAAAGAATATAACCAGCCCATAATAAAGGACCACCTTTATTGTTGTTTTTTGTTCCATGACAGATTATATACATTTTCCTTAGAGGATAAATGTGGTGAAAGTGAAACTGAGAATTCATCAACATTGGATTGCTCAAATCAGGAATTCGATGAACTCAAGTTTTCTATCACATCCGATGATAGTCACATAAGTGTTAAGGTGAAGAAATGTGGGCTTCGAATAGTTTATCAGAAAGATTTGGATGATATCAATGAAGATTCTGCCGCAGATGGATCAATAGCTGAAGGTCCCCTTATAAGGCGAAGACATAATGTTTATGAAGAGACCGAGGCCGAGCCACAACCAAAAAGGATACACAAGTTTTTCAATTTATGATGGGCCGACCGGGGAAGAAGGATTAGTTACTATTTGATTTTATTAAAGACTCATCGGCTGAAGATGAGGACAACACATTAAAGACTCCCTCTGAGAAAAGAAAAATGGAGAAGCAGAGGAAGACTGAACGAGCTGAAGATTTCATTCTAATGTGGCTTACTATTTGAGGTGGCAGAGGTTGAAAATGCGGATCTTCGAAGGGCACTACTCAGAGCCCTGGAAGAGCTATTTGATCTACCTTCACAAACAAAAGAGCTCTATGTTTCTAACAAGCCTTTCGTGACTATTCGGGGGTTGCAATTGGACTGTTACATGTATGGTTAAATGGTCGATTGTGTGTCTTATCACTGCATCGTGATGAAGGGAAACAAGGTACGATACATTTGCAAGGTTCCAGAAAAGCTTCTAGATGACCAAAATGGCTTGTTCATGATAAATTCTTGCAGGCTTCATCAAATACGAGTATTCTTGATTCCGACATCATTCGCCCTAGTCCTTCTGGCAGCAGGTGCAACTGAAGTCATGGCTACAACCGGAATCATGGACATCATTCGCCGTTGTTGCTATTTTCTTGTAATTTGATTTGCTCAAATCTCATTTGCATTCTCACCCCCGACGTCCAATTATTATTATAATACACCATTAACCTTCAAACTCTATAATTGTAAGTGCACCAGAGGAGGACGTTGCGAGTCGTAATTTACTTGAACATGTAATAGGTAGGAACCAAAAGGGTTGAATCCATTGTAAGTGTATTCTCTATCTCGGAAGAATCAATTGTACGAATCAGAATTTTTTTTAATGAAAATTAGAAAAGAAACAAAGCCTAGGAACGCCTAAACTATTGTTCCATCCATGCCTACAGCAGTGACTGCTTCAGCATGGTAAAGCGATAAAATCCCATCTGGAGGAGAACGAAAGAGTCAAGGCCAAAAGGTAGGTTCCATGCTAACTTCGCCATGGCGTCTGCGATCTTATTACCTTCCTGAAGCACATGAGTAAATTTCACCTGCCAATCACGTCTAATAAAATCCACGATATGTGGAATCAAAGTAGAAACCAACTTCATATTTGTACCTTGCTGCAGTATCATCCTTGCTATCTGTCTCAAGAACTACAAGTCTTAACCCCAAATCCCCAAGCTACTTTGAGGCCTTCCAGAACTCCCAAAGTTCTGCATCCAACACCGAACACACTCCTATGGCTTTCGTGGAACCACCAATCCCTTCCCTAGTAGCATCACGAATAACTCCACCAGAAGTTGTTAGACATGAAATAGGTCTCTAAGCACCATCTGTATTGATCTTAAATCAACCTGGTGGCAGAGGACTCCAACAAACTGCTCGGTCCATCCTATTTGGACCATTTACCGACGTTAAGAGTATGTCCCGAGCATGACCAGCCTCCACTACTAAGCGACGACTACGCTGCAAAATACTCTCCATCTCTAAAGATTCCGGTGCAAAAATAGAATGGTTTCGTCTCGTCCAAATGCTCCACAGAATGGACCAAAATAGCACATCCCAATCATCTGAGTTCAAAGGAAAATAATCTGGCCACTGAAGATTCAGTTGAATCCAGTCCATGATGTTCATGCTGAAGAACTCAACAAGCCGGTCTGGTTTGATTAATTCCTGTCAGGCAGTATGCGCCACAATACACTCTCTAAAAGCATGAGTTAACGATTCCTTTGCTGCACCACAGGAGAGACAGCTTTCATCATTTGTCATGTGTCTTCGCGTCCGTTCTTCCTTTGTCACAATCCGACCCTTACAAATTAACCAAAGAAGGAGACGCACTCTTGGTAATCCCTGAAATTTTGCAATCGTTTTCCAAAGTTGATTCTTCTGACTATTTCCATCAGACAATTGTAGGCGCTAGAGACAGAGAACTGACGATTATTTTCCAAAATCCACCCTGGTTTCCAAAATTCACCAATCAGCAAGTAGCAGTCTTATCAATATGAAGGCAATATATATATATACAATCAATAACTATCTCCAGTTGTTTTCTTCATCCAACCGGAGATGTTTTAGCAGCGAGAAGAATGAGAGCTCCCCAGTGGTAACTTGTCCGTAGCTTCTTGTACTTCTGCACAAAGGCCCCGATATCTATTTCCCCATAAAGAAGCTGCCTGTTCACTATTTACGATTCCTCTTCTGTTGCATTCATTGCATCTACAAAGAAGTAAAACCATCTTTAAGTACTCGCATCTAAACCCCAGTAACGTAGGTAATATACTATTAATATGTACCTTGAAGCCTATGCATAACGATGCAGGGGAGTAGAACTTCAGAGTTTCTTCTTTCCGTCTCTCGAGCTCGTTTAGTTTTTCCTCACCTGGTTCCTTAGCTCCATTATTTGTGGTTCTTTATCCAAATTGTTCCCTGTTTATTGAAAACATATAAATGTGAAGTTGTCTCCCTATGCACATTTCTCTATCTGTGAAATTTATAGCATTATCATAATACTAAATGGAATAAGAACTCACTAGCAAGCTGCACAGTCTCCTTGTGAAGTTCATCTCTTATCTGGCAAAAAAGTTAATTCCGAACGAGTAAGAAACCGAAAAAACCAATGAGATTCAGAGTAACAACGAACATGATTTTCTCGCCGCACGCATGCCAGTTCAAATAAATGGTTCTAAAACATAGCTAAAGTGCAACCCCCATCAAGATGCCAACAAGGAACAGCAAATATAACACAAAGCAAGGTCACGAAATAGCGAAGATCCATGCTCGGATCGAAAAGCAAACCTAAACAAAAGAAATAACGGAAAACCTAAAAGATCTGGCCAATCGAAATTAACAGGCTAAACACTATAGGTTTGATCCTATATAAGTTTAAATATAAGATTATCCCGGAGGTCAATATGAACACGGGATCATCTTCAAGTCAGTATTTCGAGGTAAGTATTCCTTTCCATGTCTATTAAACAGGAACATAATCCATTGAATTCCAAAACATCAGAACCTTATTAACCTTATTAAATGATAACTTATCTTCATAGTCAGCATTTGGACACATGAAATGACAACAGCAGCACATGAAAATTGAAAACTAGCAATACGAATCAACAATCTGAATAGCTAGTATCCTAAAGATTTTGATATCGGGGTCGGTTAATCAATACCCCTTGTTATGCTATGGCCTAAAAGCTAAACCAGTAATCTTTGAGACCGAAGAAGTGAACTAGCTTCGAGAACCAAGCGACCTCCTTCCCTCGTCTGAACACCAAAACAGAGAACCAAGAAGCCAAACGAAAATCCGAAGGCTACATTTTTACAATTTCATTTTGTTTGTTTGCTTGCATGCGTGGCTGCTGATGAGCATTCGGGGGGACCACTTGGGTTGCATGAGCGGGCGGTTAGGAGGACCGACCGATGTGGAGAAGTGCCTGGTGCAGGGGACCAGCGGTGCACATTGTTGATGAAGCATTCGGGGGGACCATATTTGAGTGGCTATTTAAAATAAAATCTTGAACGTCAATTTCTCCACCAAGTATGAATCGGATCGAATTCAAACGTTGAACGCTCAAAATTCTTCTTCGATCAATTAATATCCACTCAGACAAAATTAGGGTATTACATAAAGTTAGGAGTATTGTAACCAATTGAGATATTAAAACTTTGAAGGCGAGTGATACTAATAACTCAGTTTTGAAAGATTATCGTTAATAAATAAGGTAATTTTTTTCTTCTATAGTAAGATAATGGTTTTTTATTCTAAACTATGTTCGGGGATTATTCTAAAGATGTGACCTTCTTCTTGTTTACGATTTCATGGCTAGTGGCAGTTTAGGTAAGTTTTTGTTTGATGACCCTATAACTATCCTGAATTGGGACCAAAGATTTAGGATCATAAAGGGTGTGGCTTCTGGTCTTCTCTATTTACACGAAGGATATGAACAAATTGCGATTCATAGGGATGTTAAGGCCAGTAATGTATTATTAGATGATAAGCTGAATGCACTGTTAGGAGATTTCAGACTTGCAAAATTGTATGAACATGGTTCAAATCCAGGGACAAGTCTAATTGTAGGCACAATGGGATATATAGCACCGGATCTGCCCAATACAGGAAAGGCCACAACAAGCTCCGATGTCTATGCTCTTGGTGCACTCTTGCTCGAGGTTGCTTGTGGGCGCAGGCCTATTGATCTCAAAGCATTGCCCGGGGAATTAGTGTTGGTTGATTGGGTATGGGAGAAGTTTAGGCAAGGGAGGGTCCTTGATGTGGTAGACACTAGGCTCAATGGCCAATATGATGAAGGTGAGATGATGATGGTGCTTAAGTTAGGCCTAATTTGTTCAAATGACGTGCCTGCGGGATGGCCAAGCATGAGGAAGTTAGTAAGGTATCTTGATGGAGAGGTTGACTTACCAGAAAATTTGACACCACCGGCTGCATTTCATGGGGGAGCAGAGGGATTTGACGCCTTTGTGCATTCGTTCTAGTCCTCATCCTCATCCCCGTCATTGGATAATATGATTTCATATCCATTCTTGGAAAATGGTAATGCCGATACTAGCTAGCTTCGCTTTTATTTCAAGCTCTCCACTTCCTGAGGACAAACTATATACTGTATTGTGTTTCAAGTTAGGACTAATTTCTCTCACGAACATGATGTTTCAATGATATTTTTTCTGATCCAATATTTTTGGCCAAATATAATCAATCATAATTCAAAGAAAAATATGAATTCAATTAAAATCAAATCATTAGAATCATTTCTAATTTTCTCAAATGTGTATTCAATGGCCGCAATGCAATCATAAGTTCTTGTTGCCCTAGGAGGAGGATGCTGATGGTGGTGACATTTTCTTTGACCGGAGCAAAGTAGAAGACGATGGCAGTGAGTACTAGTTGATCATGGCTTGAACTGAAGTTACTTCCTTAGGCTTGTAAAGTTATTATCAATTCCTCTGGCTGCAATTACTCAGATGACTTTGGAAATCAAAGTTTACCTTCTTCTCCATAAAGCAATGACTGGGTAACTCTTAACTTTGATTTGATTCTCATAATTGAAGCAATGCTTGTCAAATGTGGGACTTCATAATTAATGTTTAATTGACAAGTCTCCCTCTATCATTTTTCTTATACAAGAAATTAATGATCTCTTAATATATATAGATTGATTGATGTGAAACGTAGAAAGTGGTGGGAAGTAGAACAAGTATGACATGACTCGGTTATGGAAAAAAAAATATCAATCATAGAAGCTAGCCCCGAGTATACTCATTGAACTAAAGCTTGGAAAAAGCAAATCATAGCCAGTAGACACATGGCTTCGAAAGAAAACTTGGACAGAATGACGGGAGATAAAATAGGATAGTATCAGAGTTTGAGAACTATTATTTCTTGTTGATGAACAAAGCCTTCTCAAATACAAATCAATCTCAAATCCATAACCCCAAAATTTTCCTTCTCATAATTCATCATGTCATTGTTACCTTCAACTTTATCATGTATTTCTAGAAAGAAATACGACGTTTTCTTGAGTTTTAGAGGTGAAGATACCCGCAAAAACTTCACAGATCATCTCTATGATGCTCTAAATCGAAATGGAATTATCAGTTTCAGGGATGATTCAAAGATGGATGCCGGTGAAGAGATCGCACCACAACTTTTCCGAGCCATTCAACAATCGTGGTGCTCGGTAATTGTATTTTCAGGAACCTATGCCTTTTCAAGTTGGTGCTTGGAGGAGCTTGCTGAGATTGTTAAACAAAAAAACGAGAAAGGAGATAAAGTGTTTCCAATTTTCTGCGACGTGAATCCATCTGATTTAAGAAAACAGAAAGAAAAAGTTGAAGAAGCATTTGCCAAACATGCAGAGAGATACAAGGAAGATAAAGAAAAGATTCTAAGGTGGCGAATTGCTTTGACTCAAGCGGCTAACATCAAAGGATGGCATTTAAATGACAGGTAAACCATTCTTTTCTTTCCTGTTTTCTTGTTTAATTACTTTAATAATTATAAAAATGAACTGAATTTTATTTCTTTGTAGGCATGAATCAGAGTTTATCGGAGATATTGTTAGAAAAATATCAGCAAAATTATGTCAGACATATCCAATTGTTCATGATGAGTTGGTTGGAATCAGTTCACGCTTGGACGAGTTGCATTCCAAAATAAAGTTTGGGGAAGATGACATCCGCATCATAGGAATTTGCGGAATGGGTGGCATCGGTAAAACAACTCTCGCAAGAGTTGTATACGACCAAATGTCATCTCATTTTGAAGGTAAATGCTTCATTGCTGACGTTCGAGAAGTTTCAGACAAATTTGGACTCGTTTCTCTACAGAAACAACTTCTTTTCCAGATCTTGTCTGGTGAAGTCTTCGAATTTTTCAATGTTCATGAAGGGAATGCCATAATTAGACGCAGATTATCTAACAAAAAGGTCCTTGTTGTGATTGATGGTGTGGATAATTTACAGCACTTGAAATGCTTGGTTGGAAGGCATGATTGGTTCGGTTTAGGGAGTAGAATCATTATAACAACAAGAGATGAGCACTTGCTCCAATCTTACCGAGTTGATGATGTGTATAAGCCTTCAACATTGAATGACAGCGAGGCACTTCAACTTTTCAGTTTGAAAGCTTTTGATAGTGAGACAGCACCAACTGATGTTTTCATTGAGCTTTCTGAACATATTGCAAAATATGCCAGTGGTCTCCCCTTAGCTCTTGAAGTCTTGGGTTGTTTTTTGTGCGGTAGAGATGTAGCTCAATGGAGAAGTGCAATCCAAAGACTTGAAAAGGATTCTAACAAAGAGATTATTGACAGACTTCGAATTAGCTTTGATGGATTGGAAGAAACAGAGAAGAACATATTTCTAGATATAGCATGCTTCTTCAATGGGGACGAGAAAGATTTTGTAATGAAAGTATTGGATGGCTGTGAGTTTTTCCCGGATATTGGAATCGATGTTCTCATTAAGAAGTCTCTACTAACAGATGACGAAAACAACAAATTGTGGATGCACAACTTACTACAAGAAATGGGAAGAAGAATTGTTCAGGAAAAATCTATTGAGGAGCCTGGAAAACGTTGTAGATTGTGGGAGGAAAAGGATGTATATCATGTGCTAACGAAGAACACTGTAAGTCATTCCAGGGAAATTGCATATTATATTAATGTTGAAAATGATTTATTTACTATATCAAACCAACAAAATTTATTAACGTTAAAGACAAGAGTGATGAACATAATGTAAATTTTCACAAGTTTAATCATATAATTTACCCACTTTTATTGTGTTTTCTTATGTCTTATTCGTGAATGCTTTTAGGCCACGGAAGTGATTGAAGGCATGATCGTTGACAATAAAAGGTAGGGAAACATACAAAAACATGTATCAATGTATAAATTTCATATTGTTATTGCTTTTTTATTGGCTTAATCACATATGGTTATCAGGGAATCGAACAAGATACTCAATATGAATGTCGATGCTGTCTTGAAGATGAAAAAATTGAGATTGCTCAAAGTCCTTTGCCTCTCAAATTGTGATGAACTCAAATATCTTCCTAATGAGCTACGTCTTTTAGATTGGATAGGGTATCCTTTAAGATTCTTACCTCCAAACTTCCAACCAGACAACCTTGTTGCACTTCTGTTACCATACAGTCGCATTGAACAACTATGGAAGGGAAATACAGTAAGAACTAATTCATGCGACCCTTGTTTTCTAACTTATTTTAACCAGATTAACTAAATCTTATATAATTTATTATTGTTTTCAACAGCCCCTGTATAAGTTGAAAGTGCTCAACCTCAAAGGGTCCAAAAACCTGATCAAGTCACCGGACTTTACATCAGCCCCAAATCTGGAAACTTTAGTATTGGAGGGTTGTACAAGAATAGTAAATGTTCATCCATCCATCGGAGTTCTTTCGAGGCTTAAACTTCTGAATTTAAGTAGCTGTACAAGTCTTAGGAATCTTCCAGCCAAAATTGGAATAGAATCTCTTGAAACATTAATCCTGAAAGATTGTACAAACCTTATTAGTCTCCCAAGGAGCATAGGTGGGTGTAAATGTCTAAAAACTCTCAATCTTTCTGGCTGTTATAAAGTTGAAAATTTGCCGGAGAATTTGCAGCAAGTAGAGTTGTTGGAAGAGCTCGACTTAAGTGAAACAGCCATAGCAAAATTACCATCCTTCATTTTTCAACTTAAAAATCTTAAAGTTTTGTCTTTGAATAGGCTCAAGGGACCATCATCTAAGATAGCACCAAATCTACCTTCTCTTTTCCAGGTATTCCAAAGAGGACGGATCGAGTCTGTGCCTCTGATGTTACATTCATTGTCAGGTTTGAGATCATTAAGAGAGCTGAAACTAAGGAACTGCAATTTACATGAAGGAGATATTCCTAGTGATATTTCTTGTTTATCCTCTCTGGAAAAACTTGACCTTGGCGGCAACAATTTCATCAGCGTACCTGTGATTGGTAGTGGACTTCCCAGGCTTCAATATCTTGGATTGTCAAATTGCAGGGAGCTTATATCGTTAGCTAAACCTGGTGCTTCTCGAGAACTATTTGCAGCTCCATCAAAGGATTGGACACAGTTTTCTGGCCTTCACTGCTACAGATTGGTTGAGAATATCAATGCACTAACAATACTGAAAACCTGTCTTAAGGTCGATTTATCATTCTTTCGTATTTACAGAATCTCGTTTTTAAAGAATTATATACTTAGTTACCAAGCAACATAAGTTTTATTTTGCAGCGAGTTACATATTTAAAAAAAAGTTTTGATGGTGTTATACCTGGAGGTGAAATACCAAAATGGTTCAGCCATCAAACAGTTGACTCTTCAATCAAGATACCACTGCCTAACAATATTCAGAATGATAGTCAATGGATCGGAGTTGCTTTCTGCTGCATTTTTGTCAACGATGATGCTTCAAGGAATGAGGAACTCACATGTGAAGCTGTTATCCATCATAGGAATTCCAGAAAAGATGGTTCTGATGGATCTGTTTGTCGAAGTAGAAATCCTCGACGTGTCACAGGGTGCGGCTGGATTTTTTCTGAAGAATACAACGAGCCCATAATAAAGGATCACATTTATTTCTGTTATTTTTCGCGTGAGAAATTATATCCATTTTCCTTGGAGGATAAATGTGGTGAAAGTGAAACCGAGAATTCATCATCGGATTGGTCAAATAAAGAATTCGGTGAACTTCAGTTATCAGTCAAATCCGATGACTGTCACCCAAGTGTTAAGGTGAACAAATGTGGGATTCGAATAGTGTATGAGAAAGATTTGGAAGATACCAACGAAGACTCCGCTGTAAGGGGACCAATAGCTAATGGTCCCCTTGTAAAGCGAAAACGTAATGTTTACAAAGAGACAGAGGCCGGGTCACAGCCAAAAAGGATGGAAAAGTTTTTCAATTTTATGATGGACCGACCGGGGAAGAAGCATTAGTTAGGGTCAATCCTATCCAGACATTTTCAATATTTTAGGATATATATATTTTTGAAATTAGTTACCTTTTATGTAATTATCAAAATTTTACTCTTTTTTTTAATTTTTATTTTGGTACTTTTGGATGACGAAGGTCGTATGAAGGTGGACAGTGTATATTGAGATTCGAGAAGTTTGAAACTGTTAAGGAGATTTCTTGACTTTTATGAGATTCTCGAGAATCTAATCAGATTAATTGAACAAGAAGATTGAGGTGAATTCTATGGAGAAGTTTGGAGTTCATCAATCATCGTGTATACGACAACCAATGATAGTCAATATGGTAACACATGATTTGGTTGTAACAATCAATTAATTGGATGATTTAATTGTGACAATCAATTAATCGAGTATCTTAATTGTAAAATACTTGATATTTTAACTAGTGCATATAACATGCTCGAACCTGAGACATCAGTGAGTGACAAGTATCCTTTTAACTACTGAGGTCACTTGATTCGTGTCATTGATTTTTATTGGGTGTGAGTCTATTATCTTCTCAGCTAGTGATTTTGGGGTTAAATGGGAGCAAAGATTTTGGGTTATTTTTTTAAAAAAAAAATTTATGTAAAAATATTATAAATTTCCTTTCTATATAAATAAATTTCAAGTATATTATTTATTTGATAGGGTGAATATAAGATAGTATATGTTCAAAAAGTCTCAATCATTTGAAAATAAACACTTATATCCCTGACCACTGAGGTCGCTTGGTTCGTACATTTGAAAAAGTTAATTGTATTACACATCCTCAAATTATAACCTTTATTTTAACTTGATTTCCAAATTTTTAAATACTTTAATTTCATCCCTAAACTATAAATATCACTTTAAATTAGTCCTTAAAATATTGAATATTCCAGTTTCATTTTCAAACTATAACCTTCATTCTAAATTGATCCTCAACCTTTAAATATTCAATATCATCTCAAACTATTGGTATACGTTAATCACATCCCATGCTAATAAAATTAATTTCATATTTGAAAAAAAAGTTAAATTATGGTAAAAATTAATTACATATTTGGAGGAATTTGGGAATTAAATTAGAATATCTAAAAGTTTGAGGACCAGTTTAAAATGATGGTCATAATTTGTGGATGACATTCCTAATGCTGACGAGCCTGATGAAGGCCTAGTTCCCGTTTGCCTCCATGTGATTGTCTCTGATTTTCCTTCCCTGATCTCTTCTATGCAGTTTGAGTTTTCGTTCCTCCACTTTACAGTAGAGCGATTTTAGTTCCAACATGAGAGCCAAGAATATTCTAAGCAATTGGAATATTTAAAAATTTGATAACTAGTTTAGAACGAGAATCATAATTTAAAGATTAAATTGAAATATTTAAAAGTTTAAAAATCAATTTAAACCGAGAATTATAATTTGAAGACGCGTGATACAAATAATTCAATTTAGAAAGATTATCGTTAATAAATAAGGTAAGTTTTTCTTCTATAATAAGTTAATGGTTTTTTATTCTAAACTATGTTCGAGGATTGTTTCAATCATTTAACTTTTAAAAGTTATGAAAGAGATATTAAATTCGTTAAATCATTACTAAATGATCATCTTCATGTTGGATTCTCCATCTTATGCATGCCTTGGTTCTAAAGGCTTGTCGATTGGGGTCACCTAGTTGATTGCAGATTTAGAGTGTTTTCATTCCAGGTTGTGTAGTCTTCTGTTGATTGGGCTTCTTGTCATTCCTTCTTCACTGTGTTGGTTCAGGATACTGCTTGGCATCGTATATTTCAGGGAGATGTTGCTGTTCGGTTGTGTTTCGATTGTGGTTCGGTTGTGGTTGGTCTTCGCACTCGTGGTTTGTTTGTATGTGTTTTCCTCCATTCCCAGTTATCTTTTGTTATTTGGTTGTATATGTTCGTCTTTTGTGCATTGGTCTGGGAACTTAGTAGGAAGGAGGTTGGCTTGTATATAGTTCGAATATCATGTGTTCATTCCCTTACCATCTCAAGGATTACTCTTTTTCCTCCAATTAGGATTAGGGAGGTTTTTTAATGATGCTTTGAGGTGGTGTACTTTGTTTTGCTATTAATACAAAGTACCCTATTTCAAAAAAAAATGATCACTATAAAATTATAATAAGTGTAAAATTTCGATATTTCGTAAGAATTTAATAAAATTTAATAACTATTTTGTGAAGTAGCTTCGAGATTTAAGTGCAAATTTGATTTGAATTTCAACCATGTTGAAGGTTTTAATTATTTCTTTTCAGCTGTAGGTACTGGTTGATCATGGCTTGAACTGAAGTTACTTCCTTAGGCTTGTAAAGTTATTATCAATTCCTCTGGCTGCAATTACTCAGATGACTTTGGAAATCAAAGTTTACCTTCTTCTCCATAAAGAAATGACTGGGTCACTCTTAACTTTGATTTGATTCTCATAATTGAAGCAATGCTTGTCAAATGTGGGACCTCATAATTAATGTTTAGTTGACAAGTCTCCCTCTATCATTTTTCTTATACAAGAAATTAATGTTCTCTTAATATTAATAGATTGATTGATGTGAAACGTAGAAAGTGGTGGGAAGTGGAGCAAGTAGGACATGACTCAGTTATGGGGGAAAAATATCAACCATAGAAGCTAGCCCCGAGTATACGCATTGAACTAAAGCGTGGAAAATGCAAATCATAGCCAGTAGACACGAACATGATATTTTTTCTGATCCAATAATTTTGGCCGAATATATTCAATCATAATTCAAAGAAAAATATAAATTCAATTAAAATCAAATCATTAGACTCATTTCTAATTTTCTCAAATGTGAATTCAATGTCCCCAATGCAACAGTAAGTTACTCAAATGACTTTGATTTGATGCTCATAAGTTAAGCAATAATTGTCAAATGTGGGACACCATAATTAATGTTTACTTGACAAGTTTCCTCCTATCATTTGTTTATACAAGAACTTAATGTTCTCTGAATATATAGATTGATAAATGTGAAACATAGAAGTGGTGGGAAAATAGGGCAAGTAATAGAAAAAATATCTACAATAGAAGCCAACCCCAAGTTGGACCAATTGACGGTAGATAGAATAGGTTAATATCAGAGTTCAAGAACTATTTATTTTGAACTCTAGTTTCTGTTTATGAACAAAGCCTTGTCAAATACTTCCTTTTCTGGTCTATAACCCCAGATCTGTTTCCTTGGGAATTTGATCTGTTTTGCCCTTTTTCTATGCTCCTATACTTTGATTGTTTATAGTTTCTTTCTGGGCATTGAGAGATCCATTTTCTGATTTTGAACACCATATTCAGACATATTTTCCTTCTCAAACTTCATCATGTTGTCCTTACCTTCAACTTCATCATCTAAAGAGAATATGATGTTTTCTTGAGTTTTAGAGGTGAAGATACCCGCAAAAACTTCACATATCATCTCTACGATGCTCTGAAACGGAGTGGAATTGTCACTTTCATGAATGATCCAAAGCTGGAGGCCGGCGAAGAGATCCCACCACAACTCGTCAGAGCCATTCAACAATCGTGGTGCTCGGTAATAGTTTTCTCGGAAATCTATACCTTTTCAGGTTGGTGCTTGGAGGAGCTTGCCGAGATTGTTAAACAGAAAAACGAGAAAGGACATAAAGTGTTTCCAATTTTCTACGATGTGAATCCACAGATTGAAAAGTTGGGATAAAGAACATCAGGGGGAAATTGCATCAAGTATCAAGGCATTTAAATAACGGGTAAATCCTTCTTTCTTATCTTTTTTTCTAGTTTAATTAATTTAATGATTACAACTAGATTTAAAATATTTATTCAAAACAATTAAAATTTATTTCTTTGTAGGCATGAACCTGAATTTATTGGAAACATTGTTAGAAAAATATCAGCAAAATTATGTCAAACGTATCCAGTTTTTCATGATGAGTTGGTTGGAATCAGTTCACGCTTGGAGGAGTTGTATTCAAAAATAGAGATTGGGGGAGTTGTATACGACCAAATGTCATCTCATTTTGAAGGTAAATGCTTCATTGCTGATGTTCGAGAAGTTTCAGACAAATTTGGATTCGTTTCTCTACAGAAACAACTTCTTTTCCAGATCTTGTCTGGTGAAGTTTTTGAATTTTTCAATATTCATGAAGGGAATGCCATAATTAGCCATAGGTTGTCTAACAAAAAGGTCCTTGTTGTTATTGATGATGTGGATAATATACAGCACTTGAAATGCTTGGTTGGAAGGCATGATTTGTTCGGTTTAGGGAGTAGAATCATTATAACAACAAGAGATGAACACTTGCTCCAATCTTACCGAGTTGATGATGTGTATAAGCCTTCAACATTGAATGACAGCGAGGCACTTCAACTTTTCAGTTTGAAAGCTTTTGATAGTGAGACAGCACCAAATGATGTTTTCATTGAGCTTTCTGAACATGTTGCAAAATATGCCAGTGGTCTCCCCCTTAGCTCTTGAAGTGTTGGGTTCTTTTTTGTGCGGTAGAGATGTAGCTCAATGGAGAAGTGCAATCCAAAGACTTGAAAAGGATTCTAACAAAGAGATTATTGACAGACTTCGAATTAGTTTTTCCCGGATATCGGAATCGATGTTCTCATTAAGAAGTCTCTACTAACAGTTGACGAAAACAACAAATTGTGGATGCACAACTTACTACAAGAAATGGGAAGAAGAATTGTTTGGGAAAAGTCTATTGAGGAGCCTGGAAAACGTTGTAGATTGTGGGAGGAAAAGGATGTGTATCATGTGCTAACGAAGAACACTGTAAGTCATTCCAGGGAAATTGCATATTATATTAATGTTAAAGACAGAAATGATACACACAATGTAATTTTTCACAAGTTTTATCACAGAAATTTCCTCATTCTATTTTGTGTTTCTTATGTCTTACTTTTGAATGTTTTCAGGCTACGGAAGTGATTGAAGGTAGGAAAACATACATAAACATGCACCCATGTGTAAATTTCATATTCGGTCGAAAGTGACCCTTAAAATTTTATTCTATCACTCTGTTCCTCATTGAGTTATACTTTCTTTCTTATTTTACTCACTGTACTTTTAATTTTTCTAATTTATTTTGAAAATCCTTGAAGAATCATCTCTATGTTTCTATTCGGATGTGTGGGATACGACAGATCATAGATAAATTAAGTGTTGGAACAGCCTTGCTTTTAGGTATGGAATGCTTTGGGATATTTTCAAATTTGAACTGAATTTTCGTTGTTTTACCCTTGGTTATCAGGATATCCAACAAGATGCTCAGTTTGAATGTTAATGCCGTCTCGAAGATGAAAAAATTGAGATTGCTCAAAGTCCTTTGCCTCTCAAATTGTGATGAACTCAAATATATCTTCCTAATGAGTTACGGCTTTTAGATTGGATGGGATATCCTTTAAGATTCTTACCTCCAAGCTTCCAACCAGACAACCTGGTTGCACTTCTGCTACCATACAGTCTCATTGAACAATTATGGAAGGGAAAAATAGTAAGAACTAATTCTTACCTCCAAGGATTAGTTACTATTTGATTTTATTAAAGCCTTACTGGCTGAAGACGAGGACAACACATTAAAGACTCCCTCTGAGAAAAGAAAAATGGAAGAAGCAGAGGAAGACTGAACGAGCTAAGAAAGTACATCAGCTTGATTTGATTATTTTTGGTAATATCTCTTTGAAGATTTCATTCTAATGTGGCTTACTATTTGAGGTGGCAGAGGTTGAAAATGCGGATCTTGGAAAGGCACTACTCAGAGCCCTGGAAGAGCTATTTGATCTGCCTTCACAAACAAAAGAGCTCTATGTTTCTAACAAAGCCTTTCGTGGCTATTCGGGGGTTGCAATTGGATTATTACATGTATGGTTAAATGGTCGATTGTGTGTCTTATCACTGAATTGTGATGAAGGGAAACAGGGTACGATACATTTGCAAGGTTCCAGAAAAGCTTCTAGATGACCAAAATGGCTTGTTCATGATAATTCATTTATTGCAAGGTAAGTTGGATTGCACCACGAAAGAAAGTGGGTGAAATAGTTTTATGATGTTTGGAGCATTATCATCCTTATCTTTGCCAATGTTTCTTCCAAGTAAAACACCAAAATCGTTGTCACCAACAGCATGTTGATAGTAGTTTACACTGCTTTCGTGACACTTGGTGCCTTCATCTCTGGTCTTGCCAATGTCATCTTCAAAGCTACAATGCTTTTCTTTGATTCGCCTCCTGTTGGGATAATTCTAACCTGAGCAAGATCAAATTTATGTACCCTATGAGTTCTTTCCCGAGAAACTAAATTTCGTTTTATATAAACTCTTGCAGGCTTCATCAAATACAAGTATTCTTGATTCCGACACCATTCGCCCTAGTCCTTGTGGCAGCAGGTGCAACTGAAGTCATGGCTTCAACCAGAATGGTGGACTTCATTAAACTGGCAAGTTTCCACGGCCGCCGTTGTTGCTATTTTCTTGTAATTTGCTTTGCTCAAATCTCATTTGCATCCTCCAATTAGTATTATAATCTACCATTAACCTTCAAACTCTATAATTGTAAGTGCACCAGAGGAGGACGTTGCTAGTCGTAATTTACTTGAACATGTAATAGGTAGGAGGGTTGAATCCATTGTAAGTGTATTCTCTATCTCGGAAGAATCAATTGTACGAATCAGAATTTTTTTTAATGAAAATTAGAAAAGAAAAAAAGCCTAGGAACGCCTAAACTATTGTTCCATCCATGCCTACAGCAGTGACTGCTTCAGCATGGTAAAGCGATAAAATCCCATCTGGAGGAGAACGAAAGAGTCGAAGGCCAAAAGGTAGGTTCCATGCTAACTTCGCCATGGCGTCTGCGATATTACCTTCCCGAAGCACATGAGTAAACTTCACCTGCCAATCACGTCTAATAAAATCCACGATATGTGGAATCAAAGTAGAAACCAACTTCATATTTGTACCTTGCTGCAGTATCATCCATGCATCCTTGCTATCTGTCTCAAGAACTACAAGTCTTAACCCCAAATCCCAAGCTACTTTGAGGCCTTCCAGAACTCCCCAAAGTTCTGCATCCAACACCGAACACACTCCTATGGCTTTCGTGAAACCACCAATCCATTCCCTAGTAGCGTCACGAATAACTCCATCCAACAAACTGCTCGGGTCCATCCTATTTGGACCATTTACCGACGTTAAGAATAAGTCCCGAGCATGACCAGCCTCCACTACTAAGCGACGACTACGCTGCGAAATACTCTCCATCTCTAAAGATTCCAGTGCAAAAATAGAATGGTTTCGTCTCGTCCAAATGCTCCACAGAATGGACCCAAATAGCACATCCTAATCATCTGAGTTCAAAGGAAAATAATCTGGGCGTTGAAGGTTCACTTTAATCTAGTCCACGATGTTCATGCCGAAGAATTCAACAAGCCGGTCTGGTTTGATTAATTCCTGCCAAGCAGTATGCGCCACAATACACTCTCTAAAAACATGAGTTAACGATTCCTTTGCTGCACCACAGTAGAGGCAGCTTTCATCATTTGTCATGTGTCTTCGCGTCCGTTCTTCATTTGTCACAATCCGACCCTTACAAATTAACTAAAGGAGACGCACTCTTGGTAATCCCTGGAATTTTGCAATCGTTTTCCAAAGTTGATTCCCAGAAGTTCTGATTATTTTCCAAAATCCACCCTGGTTTCCAAAATTCACCAAGCAGCAAGTAGCAGTCTTTTCAATATGAAGGCAATATATATATATATATATATATATATATATACACACAATCAATAACTATCTCCAGTTGTTTTCTTCATCCAACCGGAGATGTTTTAGCAGCGAGAAGAATGAGAGCTTGCCAGTGGTAACTTGTCCGTAGATTCTTGTACTTCTGCACAAAGGCCCCGATATCTATTTCCCCGTAAAGAAGCTGCCTGTTCACTATTTACGATTCCTCTCCTGTTGCATTCATTGCATCTACAAGGAAGTAAAACCATCTTTAAGTACTCGCATCTAAACCCCACTAACGTAGGTAATATACTATTAATATGTACCTTGAAGCCTATGCATAAACGATGCAGGGGAGTAGAACTTCAGAGTTTCTTCTTTCTATCTTTCGAGCTCGTTTAGTTTTTCCTGAGCTGCCGCCAAGTGGTTCAGAAAATCTCACCTGGTTCCTTAGCTCCATTATTTGTGGTTCTTTGTCCAAATTGTTCCCTGTTTATTGAAAACATATAAATGTGAAGTTGTCTCCCTATGCACATTTCTATATCAGTGAAATTTATAGCATTATCATAATACTAAATGGAATAAGAACTCACTAGCAAGCTGCATAATCTCCTTGTGAAGTTCATCTCTTATCTGGCAAAAAAGTTAATTTCGAACTAGTAAGAAACCGACAAAAAAGATGAGATTCAGAGTAACGACGAACATAATTTTCTCGCCGCACGCATGCCAGTTCGAATAAATGGTTCTAAAACATAGCTAAAGTGCAACCCCCATCAAGATACAATTTCCTTACTTTGAAACGTAAACCAAATAAATCAGGGTGATTTCGTAACTTACATTGTTTTGAATTTTAACATGGTCAACTGATTGTAAGAATTGATTGTAAGCGCCCTTATCAGACAAAAGCTTCCGTAATTCATAGACATTAAGATAATACGAAAGCAACTAGGACTCGACAAATATTATTAAGAGGAAATGGAGATTGCTTTGCCAATAAACACACACAACAAGTGAACCAGACCCCTCACCTTTTCTCCTTTAAAAGAGCAATGACTCCAGCAGCTTCTGTGGGTGAAACAGGCGAGGGAGAATGCGGCCATTCTGCAGGCCTCTGCGAGTTGACGCCGTTAGAAGCACTGCTACTTGGAGCTGCAGGCCGGGACTAATTAGGGGAGCTACTAGAGGATACCAAGAGTGTGAAGAGCCCTCTTGCGGTCGTGGCTGAGCTTGTTGCTCGTGTGAATTCTAGCAACATAGTTCTTGTGACAAAGGACAATTTCTTGTGACAACTTCTCTATCTTCATGGTTGATAAACTACTGACAAGGAATTCCCATATGTTTTAAGCACTGACATCTTCTTTCCATGACTACTCTTATCCTCAAAGCGTAAGCCTCAAATTCTGCCACATTGTGAGTGCAAAAGAGTTCTGGTGACGCCAGACAGAATAGTGATTATCATGTAGGCTAGCTCCGACAGACGATTCACAAGAGAAAATTCACCTAAAAACCAGAGAAAAAGTCTCTAGGGTTTAATAAAATATTATAAAATCAAAACATGCAAAAATCAGTCCACAAGCCGGACTGTTATAGCCAAAAATCGTCTTTATTCGAATTTTGCCAAAAATAGCAAAATCCCGAAAATCACTCTAAATTGAAATTCGAAATAAAATAAGCAATCTCCCAAAAATCTGGCCTAAATCGGATTTAAATTGACTTCCTAATTAACAATCGAAATATTACCATAAATAGTAAAAAATAACTAAATCTAGTGATTCGGAAGGGAAAACGGCAGAATTTGAGGTTGAAAAAAAGGACACATGGAGATCCATATGGAGAGCGTGCGCGTCGAAAAGAGCTTTCCGGATTGGGGTCTTATGCGCGATTCTGGCACTTGTAGCCAAAGTTATGGCCAAAAGACTGAAACATACTCAAAACGACCCCAATGAGGAACATGTCACAATCAATTCCCGCCTTTGCGCTGATCTGCTAACTCATGGTATCTCAGCGCCATCAACGTGCAATCTGACAGCTCAACATCATCTGTCTCGGATCCCCCTGCATCAGTCACCCCGGGTTGGAAAGAACTCGTCCTCGAGTTCAGAGTAGTGTCATCAGGATCCACAAAACAATGACTCAGGTGCTTCACATTAAAAACATCAGAAGTCTTCAAGTGACTGGGAAGTCGCAACCTGTAAGCATTATCATTGATCTTCTGCACGACCTCACAAGGTCCAATCTTCCGATCCTTAAGCTTATTATACTCACCAACAGGAAAACGATCACGAGTTAATACAGCCCAAACAAAATCACCAACATCAAAAAGTACCTGACGACGATGATTGTCGACCCGAGTCTTGTACTTGGTATTGCTCTCATGAATGGTCTGTTTCACCTACTCATGGATACCCCGAAGATACTTTGCCATCTCATCTGCTTTAGGACTGAAACGTCCTATACGTGGAATAGGGGCTAAGTCCAACACCTCGGACGGGTTCTGACCATAGACAATCTCAAATGGGCTTGAACCTGTGGTCCTATTTTTTGATCTGTTGTAGGCAAATTCTGCCTAAGGCAATGCCAAATCCCACTGCTTCGGCTTCGTTCCTGCCAAACACCTCAAAAGGTTTCCCAAACTTCGGTTCACCACCTCGGTCTGGCCATCCGTCTGGGGGTGGTAGGCGCTACTGAAATTCAACTGCGTTCCCAGTTTCCCCCACAGGCTCTTCCAGAAATGACTGATGAACTTAGTATCACAATCTGAAGTGATGGATCGAGGAACACCATGTAAACGCACAATTTCCTTGAAATAGAGATGGGCAATCCGGTCAGCATCCATAGTCTTTCTGCAAGCTACAAAATGAGCCATCTTGGAAAACCTGTCAACCACAACAAAGATAGAATCAGAGGCCCTTTGGGTGCGGGGTAAGCCTAGTACAAAATCCATGCTGACATCGAACCAAGGAGCTTCAGGAACAGGTAAGGGAGTGTACAATCCCGCATTGGTGAGAACTCCCTTAGACCGCTGGCACACATAACAACGGTCCACATAATGGGCCACATCACTAGTCAACTTGGGCCAATAAAAGTCAGAAGAGATAAGGGCCAATGTCTTATCTCGGCCAAAGTGTCCCTCATTATGGAGTTCACTTATAATTTGCTGCCTCAATGAACAATCTGGAATACACAACTGTAATCCACGAAACAGATACCCATTATACAAAACAAAATCATGACGGTGACCCTCAGTTACCTCCTGAAATATCCTTCTAAAGGAAGGATCAGCTGCATACATATCTGTGAACGTCTCAAATCCTGCCACTTTAGTACTCATGGTGGTGAGAAGTAAGGTATGACGGCTCAGGGCATCTGCGACGCGGTTCAAACTCCCTGCTTGGTGCCTCAGCGTAAAAGTGAATTCTTGCAAGTATGCTACCCACTTGGCATGACGTCTACTCAGTTTGTGTTGGCCATTGATGTACTTCAAGGCCTCGTGATTGGTAAACAGAATAAACTCCTTTTGTACTAGATAGTGACGCCAATGCTTCAGGGACTGAACTATGGCATAGAACTCCAGATCATAAGTGGAATAATTTTTCTTTGATCCCGATAGCTTCTCACTGAAAAAAGCAATCGGACGACCTGCCTGACTCAGAACACCACCAATGCCAACGCCAGATGCATCACAATTTACCTCGAACACTTTGTCAAAATCTGGAAGTGCCAAAACTGGAGCCTCGGTCATCTTTTGCTTGACCAGTTGAAAACTGGCCTCTGTCTCCTCAGACCACTGGAAATCACGCCCCTTGAGGCACTATGTGATAGGGGCGATCAGAGTACTGAAATTTCTAATGAATCGGCGGTAAAAAGACGCCAAGCCATGGAAACTTCGGATGTCATGTAAGGTTCTTGGTCTGGGCCACTCCAAGACTGCATCTATCTTTGACTGATC